AGAGTGACGTCACGGAACACGATTAGTATCAAGTTTGCGTAGACATTCCCTCGCTTCCGTTTCACCTTCGGGGAGGGAGGGTACGGCTACACATAGGCTAGATACACAAAATGGTGACCAACCACTCTGTGTCACAGAAGCGTAATTCATTTGATGTAACAACGCAAAGCTTATAATAACTAGCTGGTAAAACTGCCATCGGCGAAAGTCGTCTCTTTCAGAAGAAAAACGAACTAGGTATGTTACTAAATCTCCAGTGTCACGGCTGCTGACCTCAACCTCGATAGGGACAGGACTTTCAGAGAGTAGACAGCTGGGGTCCTCTAATCCAGCTCTAAGTAAATAAAGTGGTCTGGAAACTGTGTTGTTAGTCTTTGACTGCTTTATCTGTCACGAGGACTACAGTTGATGGCTGTTCGTGTAGTAACAATTATTATGGAAATGCAGAGAGATCGGTTGGGTCATGCTCGGTTCAGAGACAGTGCATTTGAGGTCCGCTAGTCAAATTCTAGGCGAGTGGCGGGGATTTGAATACTGTGTTGTCACTCTTTGCTGTACTTTTGGGGTTACGTTTGAAACCTGTTCTCTTCGGGCAAAGTAACAATCGAGGAAATTCGGAAAGAGCTCTGTTATGCTGGCTATCACCAACGTCTATAGAGAAAGGGCTATCAGCCAAAGTGCATTCAGGGTCCTCTAGTGTAATTCCAAGGGAGTGGAGTCGGTTTGAAATCTGTATCGAGATTGTTTGCTTTCTCGTTTCTCCTCCAATAATGACCTCAATAATCAAATCGAAGCACCGCTAGCTTGATATTTTAAACTCAAAAGGATTCCGCTTTAATTATACTTGAGGTTTCAGAAGTTTCTCCAACAAAGAGGAATGTCTTCTTCTTCAGATGTAGTGTATGATTTCAGCATCAACTGAAATTACATTCTATTGATAATTTCGGTTTGGGAAAATGAGCCAAAATTGAAAGAAACGATGAACATCACCGGTCGATTGAAGACTATACACGTGAGAACACTGAGTCAGTGAACCAATACTCCAGAATCGTATGAGCTTCTCTTATATCTTCTCTTGAAGTTGCCAGGTATGACTGCTTGCTTCACTGTCTTTCCTTAGCGTTTCAACCTTAAAAATTTCAAAATTAAACAGAAAAGTCATTTTCAACTCGTGTTTAAACCTGTTATTTTTTACTTTTTCTCTTTTGGCTATTCTTGTTTCGCGATTTTCCTCTGGCTGGACATACTCGGCGTCTTTTTGAGGTTTTTTCTGTTACCTTTGCCGTAACTGCATATAACGTAAGCGTCTTTCAGCCAACTGTCCATGATCTTAGCAACTTTAGCTCCTGAAATACGAAATTTGTCTAACATGTTTTCTGCGCTGCGAAAGTGTGATTTAAAGAAAGACAAGCTGGAACTAGAATATCATAATTAAAACCTGATGACGAAGGCATAAGTAAAAAACTTGAGGTAATACCTGGATTTCATTTGTACATCACAGAAATGAATTCCAAACATCAATCAAGTTTTCTCTTTAGTTTGAAGTTGAGTTGCTTTTGTTATTGGCTATATCGGAGAGGTTGAAAAGTTTCAAATGGTTTCTCTCATGTTTGCAAATAATTGAATTTATTGGAAGGTGGAGTTGTTGCAACATTTCAACATGAAACACAACAATAAATTTTATTGATATGTAAAAAGGTTTCATTTGACTATCTACTGGCAAGTCTTTGTATTATATTTCAGCCCAATCATTTTCCACAACTTGCGGACAACATTACGAAATAATTAGTCAGGGAAATGCAAAGTTTGTGGCATATACACCATGTTTGAAATGGCATGTCCAGAATAAGCTAACAGGATTGAGGAGGGTGTATGTGGGAAAAGACTCACTTGTTTGTATCATTAATTTGCTGATTGCTCCTGTTTCTAATGTTTTGATGAGGTTGGGCTGTGAAAACAAAGGAGCTGAGGATAGTAACTGGCAAATTGACTTTTTTTAAACCTGGAAACTATCATCATGACCAGGTTTGTACTGATAATGGGAAAAATCACTGTTTTACAAGAAAATAATGATTGAGAACTGATAGCCCTGGGTCGGCCATTAATTTTAAACTTAAGAGTGCTTTAAAAATAGCAATTTGCTCATGCCCAAAAGAACAATCTGTGGTAGGAGGGCAGGCTTTCCTCTTTTCATTTAAAGAAATACAGAGGTTATCATCATTTTCCTCAGGCTCGGTGGACAGCGAGGGTGAATAAGACTGATAGCAACTATGTTATTTGAGTAAATATCCAGAGGAGGATAAAAAGTAGGATATGGTCTGCACAACCCCTACTATCCTAATTTTTTTAACCTTTAAAGCAGAGGCATTTATTTTCTTGCCTTGTGCATTACAAGGACACCAGTTAATTCAACTTTCATGCGTCAAAACACAAAAATGTTCTCTTAATTTCAGAATCCCCAGAAAACCAGCGCATATCAGGATGGTGGTCATTTTATTGGCATGACAGATTAACGGGGTGGCTTAGTTTTTTTAAAGACTTAGTTGAAACAAACATTGCAAGTATCACAATAGGTCATTCTAGGACATTTTAGTACAATCCCATGGTACTATGATAAAGCAGCAGATTGAAATGACTTCCACCAATTTTTTGGATGAAATTTAAGTACAAACAAGATTGCAAAATTGGTTGTGCACAAAAGCACAACTTGTGATTACTTTGATGGGGCATTTGTCTTTTTTAAAAGATGCTCTACTCTTTGACATTTAGAAATGAGATACAATATGGTGAAGTGAAACTTTATTCATATCCTACTACTTCACCTAAACATGAACAAGAACTGTAGCGACCGTCTTTTGGTGTGAAAGGAAGCGCAAGAACATAGAACTACAATTCATCAGTCTGACAATCCAACTGAAACTGTTTAATGCATCCACGGTGTACCGGGAATTACAATCTTAAACTTTCTGCAAACGGCTCCAATAACCGCTATCAGAGACTGTGATGAGCCACAGCGAAAATAAAGGCTTCGGATGAAGCTACAAACACAAAGCCAAAGGAAAGGCTTCGGGTGAGGCTACAGAAACACTAGCATAGTCGAACGCTATTTTAACCACGGGGAGTTCTGACAAAAAGTCCCGTATACAAAAACTAAGGCATTACGGGATGCGCCACGCAGTACGACTGAGGAAACGTTACAAGAATGATATCGCAACCTTAGTTTTCAAAAGACTAAGGAAAGTGTTTTAAAACATCATTAACTATCCCCTAGTATTTATAAAATAATGCAAAGGTGACATACTTATTCCTTTGCATTTACCCTTCCAGTTAAACATGAACAAGTACAGTATTAAGACCTCTCAGTTAACTTCAAAAGACTGGGGAAGAGTTTTAAAACATTATGCATATGCACATCCCCTGGTATTTTTAAATGCAAAGGAGACACCCTTTTCGAAGTCGTCATATGTGTCATGCACCACTGGTAATAGCAACTGGCAGGAACATGCATTTGCTTTTGGGAACTTGGATTTTTCACCACGTTTGTTCATTGCTAGTATGTTTTGTAATGACCAGCTCGTCTCTGTCTGAAACACTTGAGGATCATCTACTGCCACAGGGACATTTTCTCCTTCAAAATCACCACTGTATAGCAAAGTGCCAGGGATTAAGGAGCCATAAAGCAGATCTACATCACTGGTGGAACGGGAACCGTCATTACATGTTACAGAATGTGCATATGTATGAGGAACACTGACAGAGAGGCATTACCTGTACTGTTAAAAGATAACAGGCTATGTGAATTCTTGTACCATCTTGTGGTGTATGTTCTACTGCTAATTCAGTTTCAAACATCACATTAACTATCTTTATTCCATGGCTAAAACTGAAGTGAAATGACAGTTTCCAGCACTACCAAATTTTGCCTAAGGTTTAACTTTGGAGAGAGCCAGGTTAATGTTTTCTTGTTCAGTGCAATGTTTACCTTTATTGAGTGGTAAGATGATCTTTATTACTACTGAAGCTAACATCAACATCAGATCTTGCGGGGTGTGTTTATGTTTTTGGAAATGCACTACAAAAGAACTCAAAGACAGTGTGTGTTATTACAAATTGAAATGTGGTTGATGTTTAACATCCAGTTCACTTTTAAACGAAAGATGATCAATTATCCTAAAACTACAGGTCAACAGTAGAGTAAAGCAAGTCAGTTTCTTGATTAGCCTGATGCTTATACCTTTGCTGAAATGGGAGTTGATGTTCAGGTGTAAAGAATGTCTTGCCACGGATCGGATTTGTCACATCTGGGCCAATAAATTACATCAGGCCTATATTGATTAGCACGAAGGGATCCGCTTCTTTCTTCTTCTGCCCTCTTTTCTTGGAGCCACTTGATCGAAAATGAGTCGACCTCACTTCGCTTTCCTGTGCAGCATAGTTTTTGAAGCGCGAGTATTTTGCTGCACCTTTCACTTACACTAGAGTCGCTTTCTGCTTTTTGTCTACAAAAAGGGCAAAATTTTGAAAAAGATTTCAAACCAGCTCTACAGCTAGCACAAAACATTTTTTCCAAGCAAAATGGCGAACTAAGATGGCGGGAAAATGTAAAGCATGTCAGCGGTTGATCAATGGTGGGTTTATGATTTGTATGGTATTAACATCCTGCATTACGTATCGGAAAATTTTGTGTTGTGTTTCGCAAATGTAGAGTTGTGTTTTGGAAGATTTGCGTTGCGTTTTGCAAATACTGAGTTGTGTTTCCATATATTGTGTTGTGTTTCGATAATACCGTACTGTGTTTCGATGGCATTGTGTTGTACTTCGATAATACAGTGTTGGGTGCAGATAATACTGTGTTGTGTTTGGAAAAGTGTTTGTTGCATTTCAGACATTGTTTATAACGTTTGCAGATATGGGCCACGGTAGATAAGATAACCATATCTAATTCCAAGTCACGAGGGAGGTTGAACCACGTGCAGTTGCCCCGATAGATTGCTTTGAAAATGGCAAATAGATCCGCGGAGAACACTTCTCAGGGGTACGTACTCTGTTGTTGATGTCGATATTTTCATGAATGAATGCGCTCTAGATTTGCGCAAGTTCGTTCTGCGATTTAGTTTCCTCTGGTTTGTTTCATTGCGCTGTCATCCCTTCGAGGTATATCGATTGTTTATTGGATAACATCCAAATTCGCAGCATGAAATTTGCAAAAAGTTTGTTGAAGTTTATACGCTGTTACTCAGAAAAAATTTCAAGTAGTATAAAATGACTGTACAGAAAGAAAAATTAAGGATTGACGCCGACCCGAAGCGTCGGCTTCACTCGCGTAGAGTCAACCTTTTTCTCTAGCCCGCCTCAAATTTGCTGACCCATTCTATTGATACACACAGCTCAGTAGTGGTTAAGATTTGTAAAAGATAAAGTTAAAAAAAATATATTTTTCGATTTTTAAACGCTAACAAAAATATATTAACAGTAAGTCCACTCCGGAAGATAGCGCCACAAACAACAGCAAACTCTAACCGCGATGAGAACACTCATGGATCACAGCGCACCAGAACTCGAATTTTTTTTTCGTTTTTTTGTTTTATTTTCCTTGATAATATTGCCCTGTAAAGAAATATATATAGTATATTTTTACACACATCGCCGTCAGCACATAACTGGCTAAATGCTAAGGAAGAAATTTACTTTATAGCATATCATTAAAAGGAGTAAAATCTAAGAAGTTTTTTCTTGCTGGGATTTCCTGGCGCGCCGCTGCGAACACTGCTATCTACATGTATTAGGCAGCGAGAAAATAAACACAGACAAGCAGAAAAAGTTCTTTACTCACAAACCTCTTTCACTATTTATGACCGATATTACATCTCGTATCTCAAGTTGATTTTTAAGCAAGGGAAGTTATGACAAATGACAGTGGAATGCGCTACGAGAAGAGGTATTTTACTCATTGGTAATTTTATTCCGAAATTCATTATTGATTGTAAATGAAACATTCACGGGAGCTGGGGGAATACACCATCAAAACGAAAACAACATCGACGGAAAAATTATCAGAAAGTTAGTCAACGGACCTTGCACCCACTATACGGTGTTAATTCAGTTCGAATTGGTTGGCTTTTTCGTCACGATTTTTTATGGTTCACGTTAAATCAAATCTGCAAAGGAAAAGATATGTACGATCAAGACAGGTTAATTTAACTCTGTTGAGATTCATTCTCAAAATTAGTATGTTTTAAGATAAAAACGCACGGTCTAAAATTAACCAACTCTCCAAGAGAGACAGAACCAGATGAAAAAATATATAAATAAATGAAAAAATAAAAAATAAAAAAGGTTCTACCTTTAGATAACAACAGCCCAGAGAGGACTGACTACCCAAGAGAGACAGAACCAGGTGAAGAAAAAACGGAAAGGTTTTGTCTTCAGATAGCAACAGCCCAAATAGGACTGACTACCTAAGAGAGACAGAACCAAGTGAAAAAAAGGAAAGGTTCTGGTGATTTTAAGCATTTACCATCTAACCATCAGAGGAATCAGTCCTTTTCTGGTTTTGAAGGCACAGAAGCAAAGGTAAACCTTGCTTTGCTGATAAAACGGTTTAGGCATCATCATTTTCGGCTCACGTTATTAAGCAGTGAGATTTATCGCGCGTCATTATCGTCGAATTGGTCAAGCCGGCGAGTAGTTCCCGCGCTTACCTGATGTTTGGGACTTCCTTATTGGAAATTATACTTCATACCGTACAGAGTTCCTTAGTATCGACGCCCGAAATGTATAATCGAAAAACCTACCCAATCGTTTCAAGCGATAATGATACTCCTGAATCTCCAGAACATAACGCAGTCGAAATCTCTCTCGAAAACAAGGTCGTTGCTGAGCGGTTCACCGCCTCTTGGCTGACTCTTGAGCCAAAGGGCTGATCAGAGTAGAATATTGGCTAGCTGTTACAATTTAAGTTTGGCATTGTCGTGTCAGAACAGATAATCGCTCTTTGTGTCAGAAATCTATGAATCTGTAGATCACGGACATAATGTGACGGCTACAACAACTGTTACTTGATTGTCACGTCACACAGTTTAAACAGGCTATCCTCTAATGTCATGACATGTTTAGGTTTAGCTAAGTCGTTCCTGTCGCTGAATCAATCTGCAATTGTGAAAATTGTCATCCCTGCTATGATTGCGTAATTATTCCCAAAGAGAAAATTGCGCGAAAGAGTCCTAAATTTACGTAACACTCGCTGACGTGCAAGCCGCGCGGATCCTCGCGTCTGTTTACATTTTAGTTGTCAACTTTAATTACCTTAATTTAACGTTCGAAACCAAACACCTCGCTTTCACTTGCCTAGAGGTCACGTGCTTGGATACTGGGCAACAACGCAAAACTGGAGGGCAAGCGTTCCAATACACAAAGTTCATAAGAGGTCACGCGCATATGCTTGAAAACGATATTTTGCTTGACTATAGAATGCTGGGCCCAATCTGAAGTTATATTCTGAGCCAGTGGCTCGGTGGTCAAAAAAGTCAGACTGCCGAGTCGCCGAACCGCCGAGCCACAACAAAAGTTCTTGTAATTTCATAAAGCATTTATTTTCTCGTTCTTTTAAGAATGATTGCCGAGGCAGTAAGCCGGCGAGCCACTACATAAAAATGGCTCCATTGGGAGTGATTCCAATCAACCCTTTAAGGGTTGTATTACTCTTATAAGTTGAGTAGTGCTGCGATTGCAGGAGTAAAGAGGTAGGTGTCTGAACAAATATTTGAGTACAAGTCAAGATCAAACGTGTGCTTGGGTATAGCTTCTTGAAACCTTCTGGCATATGCCCATTGACATCATCTCTTGAAGGCCAGATCATAATACATCCAAGCAAAAAATACATAAAATTACTCCAGGTGATTATTTTCCTACAAACTGAAGACCTATGTATCATTAATCTATAAGCTAAGTCCTGTTCAAATAATCCTAGTTTGAGGCGTACAAGAAAAATAAACAATTAATTTACAAGTAACATATTCCTACAAGCGGGTTTGCTCTCTCTTACTCCAGAAGCATAACAGTAAGTCATCGTTTCAGCGCTTGGCTGAACAAACTGAGAAGAGAGCTGAATATGTTCATATGATGGGAAGCTGGTGTAAAATTTGATTGAATCATTATTTGTGCCAAATCTCTCTGGCCCAAATTCATTGAGTGCCAATTGTTCAGCTGCTTGCCTTTTTATTTCTTCAATCTCTATTACAGCTTGGGTTTTTTACAGCTTTTACTTCCTCTTGAGCTGCTTTAGTTTCATCTCTTCTTTTCAGTAGCTGTTTCTGCATAGCCAGTGGCTGTGCCTTGATGGACTGAATTTCTGAGTGCATGCTGTCTATGGTTGGGCTAACTTCTGATTGACTTTCATGTTCATCATCACTCTCATCTGTTTGGGTATCTCTGTGAAGAGAAGAGTAATGTTATTAAAATACTTCCAGATTACCATGTGTAGAATAATGATTGATGCGCTAAATTTTAATTGTAAATCAATTTTACTATAATGGCATTACTGGAATACTCACAATAGATCATCAATACCTCTCGACATGTCGAATTATCTTTCTTCGTGCTTTGAAGTTAGATGACCAATAAAACTTGAAAGGAACAACTCCCCCTTTGAGCAGTTGTCGACCAGATGTGTTGGGTAGAAGGTAGTCTTCATCTTTGAAGTGTCTTGACCCCACTTACCAGGGTTTTTTTTTAACTCCGAAAAGTCTTAAGATTTTGAAAGTTTCTACTTTGCTTCTCGTCAGACAAAGCTCTTGAAATAACTTGAAGTCTGAACCTTCATTTCCTCTAATCTTTAGGGAGCCATTCCTCTTTCAACTTAGTATTTCAATTCGTGGTGATAGCGTGAATTCCCATTGCATAGTGGAACACAACAATGGTAGGCTGATTTCTTTTAAGAAGTCAAAGGCTCGTCGGCAATATCGGCATTTAGAGAGATATGAACAATGCACGAAACAAACGTTTGTGCACGCAATCACTCGAAAAATATTTCCGCTAATCGACCATAAAATGCCTTTGAATCCCATGCAATTATCGTTTATGATTTAGAGTTTTCCTTTAGAGCCTTGAGAAGTCCTGATATCGCAGACCAGAAGGAAGAAAGATGAATTTGAAAGTACAGACCATGTGTAGTCGCCATGTTTGTTAGATGTTGTGTATTCATTTAAATGACAAACTCACTCTTGAATTATTTTCCATATTCTGTCTTTATTCATCGATCTACTATATAATAAACTGGTAAAATCATGTTACTTGATAAAAATACTTTTACATATTTCAGTAATCCCACAATGATATTACAAAAATTGGTACAAGTGCTTTTTGTTATTATCTCGACACACTACTTTATAGTCATCGAACGAGTCGGCGCTACTAGTGTATTCACTATTTCGCCGTAAAAAAGCCTATCACAACTTAAAAATTGTACCAAACCAAAACTTCTACACTAAAACCTTACTAGCTTTGTAGAAACGGAAATGCCAGTACAAGCTTTTATCCGTAGAAAGTATTGTTTTCAAGGACACGTGCGTGACCTCTTATGAACGTTGTATATTGGAGCGCTTGTTCTCCAGTTTTGCGTTGAGCAAAGCTCGTCATGACTGAAAATATGAACATCTCCGTGGTGTTCTTTGCTGAAACTTTACCACGTTCGCGAAGAGATCAAAATCCTCTTCTATATTTAAAGGACGAACAGCGCCATTTAGCCATAAAATGCAAATCTATAATAAAAAAAATTACGTGAGGCTGCAGCTGTGCAATTTACAAGGTGTCAAGCATCGATGTTCGTAATCGATGAATAATTCGATTGCATGACATGACACCTTCCGTACAAAATATCGTGTGACTAAAGTCATTTGTTGGAATGCGTATGCAATAACTGACCGATTCATGACTGATTCATTGGGATTTTCGGTTTTTTTTTTTAGATCGGTTTTGGTACCAAAAAATTTTGATTTTTTGGATTGGTTGTTCATTGTGGCTTGCGGATTTTCCGTTTTTTAGCATTTGATCTCCGATGTAGTGTTTGGATTTCCCTATTTGGATTCCGGTTTCTCTTCGACTCAAGCGGCCATCATGCGCTTCCATTGATCTCGAATAGCCGCGAAACCTGTGTCGGATCGTTTAGGGTTTTGAGAACTGGAATGTGAACATTTATCAGTTTTGACGGCTTTGCATGCGGTTTTTGGTTTTGATCGCATTTTTTGTGTGTGTGTGTATGGTTTTACAGACCTTCCTTTTCGTTCTGTTCTGCGTCTTAAATTACAGTAGGACTCAGTTATTTCTTCTTATTTTTTTTATTTTTATTTTTTTGATTTTTCTGGTTATAAAGTGCTCTTGTCTTTCTCACTTTACACTTGTATTTGGGACTGAAAGTGAGGGAATGGGGATTGTCTGTGCTAGGCAGCTTATTCCTGCCTTAGTCTGCATTATCGTGTATTAACTTTTTGATTTTCCATTCCTTCATGAAATTTTAATGTTCTGCAACACCTGTCTCTTCTTATTGAATCTTAAAAATGAAACAAATTTATTTAAATTTAAAGATGTCTTTATAATTTTGTTTTTTTGAGACATGTTGACGGATTTTCAATCTCACAAAATTTCAATTTAGGTGCCCCACAGTTATCAACGAGATTTGGTTTGATCTTGGCTGCCTTGTTCCAGCTGTAAGTGAAATACTGAAGTAACTTTCATCAAATAATGACAACAAATGCTTACATACGGTAATGAATTGATTTAGCGCCCTCCCTTCAATTAGCACCCCCCTTCAAATAAACACTCCCCCTGGAAGCTCCCCTATTTCTAATAAGTGCCCCTATTGAATAAGCATTATCGTTCCAATAAGTGCTTCTATTCCAGTAGGCACCCCTATTCCAATAAGTGCCCTATTCCAATAAGTGCCCCTATTCCAATAAGCGCCCCCATTCCAATAAGTGCCCCTATTTCAATAAGGACCCCTATTCCAATAAGCGCCCCTATTTCAATAAAACCCCTATTCCAATAAGTGCCCCTATTCCAGTAAGTGCCCCTACTCCAATAAGTGCCCCTATTCCAATAAGAGCCCCTACTCCAATAAGCCTCCCTGTTTCAATAAGTGCCCCAATTCCAATAAGTTTCTCCATTCTGTTTCAGCCATATAAAACTGCTAGAGCACATGAACATTGAGATTGACTTTTAAAGTTCATCTTCCTCAATTTCTTACTAATACCTAATTATGAAAACAGAGGTCAACATCTCAGCCTCTCAACTCTTATGTCTGCATGAGTGCACAGTTCATTCAAAAGAATTATCTGGTCTCAAAATTTTGTGATGATTGCTGGGCTGATCTTTCTAGCCAGGAAGGATCCAGGGATGTCAAGTCTGCACATTTCCAAGTCTTCTTGGTCCTTTTCCAAGAAACATCAAAACTTTGTTTCAAATTCTGCTGTTTATCAAAAAAGAAATGAGCCCTGTTCCAATAAGCTCCCTGGTTCAAATAGACACCCTCCCCTGGGGTACCAAAGGTAAATAAGTGCCTCGGGCACTAAACCAGATCATTACAGTGTATTACTTTGCAATTTTTCCCACCTCGACTTAGTGGCATTTTAAGTAATGTAAGCCTACATGCATCTGTTTATAAAACAGAAAGTTACAAAGTTGGTGATGTTTTACAAAAAGCTTCACCTGTAATTTCATGCTTGAACTTATTTTTTTTTTTGCTAAGGTGATTTCATGGGGGAAGCTATTAATAACATATTCCTGTTCTGATTTCTGAACCCTTTCATATCCAAGACCTCATTAGAAATTTTTTATACCATCTCCATTCCAATTCTTATGGTGTGAGTTTATAGAATTTGGTATTAAAACTATTTATATTAATAATGATTTATTAACTTACATTGTTTGTAGAGCATGATGCATGATGTAATGATTGCATGCGCTTTACAAAAAATATAAAACAAATCTAAGCATAAAATTAGCAGATACAATAAAAAACTGCTTAAAAATTACAGATGTGTTAAGAATGAAATACTATTTTAGATTTGAAGATATCTGTGTCATGCTAATTTAAAATAATAGCTCTTAAGCAAACAATTAAAATTGTCAACAGTACTCGCTTCTTCAATATATACATACATATCAGAAGTGAGTTCCAAACTTTTAGGGCAGTGACATTAAAGGGGTGATCACTAAGTTTAGCAAGACTTGTGTAATGGATAATTTAGGTGAATTTCATTGGTCAATCGCAAATAATAACTTGTTTCATATTTAATAGAGGTAAGATCAGTTATGTACCACAATGACATATAGCCCTCTTTGTGAAAAGCACAATTTTCAAATTATTCCTAATGCAAATGGGCAGCCAATGAAGCTTCATACACAGCGAGGTAATGTGACAGAATTTCTTTTCCATATTTCTGATGATCAACTAATTACCACCTCTACTGGCATATATATACATATATATTTTTTTTTCTCATTTTTCTTATTACCTGCTTGGTTGGTAACATTGCAAGGAGAGAGTATGTCTTGATTGCGTATGGGAGTGAAAGGGTTAATGCAAAGTGTTATTACCTGTAGATCATAGCAAAGAATTTTGTTGGGTTGGGCATAAATTAAAGTGTTTCATTTACATTATACATCCATATAAACTGTATTTTATTTTCAGTTGATAATTATTATTATTATTATTCTATTTTTAAGCTTTTCATCATTTTTATACTGGCCTTTGTCAAGCCAAGAGTCAAATTTGAACCTCAAAACTGCAATTGTTATCATGGTTTGCTGATGTGAGTACAGAATTGATTAAAATTTAAATGTTCGATTTGATAGAGGAAAAAGCTCAAGGCATATATTGAAGGTTAACAACATATAGTCTGATCATTGTGTACTTATAAGTAGTTGTACCTAAGTCTAAGTGACACCCAGCTGCATGTAATTTTTTGAAAAAGTTGCTACCTGTTGTGCTTGTGTGCTTGGAGAGAGGGGGGGGGTTAAGGAGGAGGGGCTAGTAACAAGCAAGGGGATGTGCTGCTGGTTTGGGTTGCATTTTCATGCCTGGATTTAAGCTACAATGGGGTTGGATTTAAGCTATAATGGGGTTTCATTTTCAATAGAGTAACTAAAATGTGGATTAGCACATTTTCATGATTTGGAAAATTCTGGCACATTCAAGTAGGGATTTACAGATGGGAAGGTTCAGGTAAGATTCAAATGTACCAGAATGTTAATGCACTGTAAGTAAAAAGTAAAGTGTTCTAAATTTAAGCAAACAAATGTGTTATTTCAATCTAGGATCATGACCTACTTTGTAGTAACTGGGGTTTAACAGAAATTGATAAAGTTGGGATCACAAAAATTACATTTCACTTAAAGTGACTCACTTGGCAGATGGGGTGTATAACTGACCACAGAATAGACTATAAAGGGGCAGGTGTTCTTAAAGGCCAGTCACACATACCCAGCAAAAATTGACCTAAGCACCCCCCCCCCCCCCATCTATCAGGAAATTGTGCCATTTCAGTCTAAATATAGACACAGTGCAATAATATGAGACATTCGCTCATTGAATGGGTTTACTGCGAGTGTATTTTAAATGAGCTATTTGAGTGTCACTGTTTTACCAATGTTTGTCTGGTTTCCTTCCAGACCATTTAATTTTTTAGGTGGTTTTAGCAACAGATTCACCATTGCTGTTATATTTGGAGCCACCTCTAGTACATGCCTGGATATATTTTTACGTCCAAAAGATGGAATTTTTCAGATGGCTGACCCAGCTGGATGGGTGCAGGGTAAGTGATCATGCCATGGCAACCTGATTTGGAATAAATTAAATGTTTTTGTTTTTGGTTGTTTGTTTATTTATTTTTTCTCACTGTTTAAATCAGTTGAGTGATTACAGTAGTTATAAGATAACCCAGTTGCTGTGGGGCAGAATTAGTTTATGAACAAATTTTAATGTAGTTATATGGAATTCAATGTAGTTTAAATGACTAGGAGCATATACATGTATGGTCAGTTATGTTTTCAGGGGTTTGGTTTGCGTCTTAGCCAGCTGTTAGCGTTAGTGCAGTGTTTGTTGTATTCTGCAGAGTTTGCAGCAGTGCTATGGTTGTTGGGACCCAGTGGCCATCCTCCTCCAGCAGTATGCCTTATCAGTGCATGCGTTCTTCTGCCATTGTGCCTGTGTTGTGTTTGCTGTTCTATACCATTGCATTGTTGTCTTTGTGAATAGCAGTCCTTGGCATTTCCCTCCCCCCCCAACCCTAACTGCAGGGTTTCTTGTGCAGGGTTTATTTCTATTTAATATTTGTTTTATTTGTTCATTCATTTATTTATGTTTTCCTCCTTTGAGCCATTTCACTCTAGTGTAATGGGTGCTCAGAGGGGGCTTGGCACAAGAGGTTTGTGGCTGGATTGTGGGTTGGGTAGGCCATTCGGGTGTTCTAGCACCTTGGGCACTTAGCCTCCATTTGTGATGTGGGCGTGAACTTGATATTAAGTTATTTATTTATTTGGAATATCTAGACAGGCTGGCTCAGTTCAGCTTTAAAGCAGGTTTAAATGCAGGCCTCTATGAATGATAACAAGGCCAAATGACCACACCAGGAGCCACATTTGTTACTCTTTAACTCATAGGATCTGATTATCAATGAATTTCTCCCTCAATAGCTGCTGCACATTTGCATATTCGTCAGTTATGAGAACTTTTCTGTCAGATCAAGGAAACATCCCCTACCTGATAAGTTTGAGTACTCTTATCACCTGTTTGCTGGATAATGTATGGATATTATGGGGAGAAGTTACCTGGTAATCATTTCTGGTAGTTAAAGGGTCAGTGTCCGATGCTTATAACCAGTACTGAGAGATGTAGAAGAGTACAGGGCCTACGGTTTATGATCCTTAGCCGAGAAGACTAGAATGTCTAACCATAGCAAAGGCAGCATGTTCTCCTGTTATTTTAAGACATGAGTGTTGTTGCAGTCTGGGGCTTGAACCCTCAACTACCTGCACAGCAAGAACACCTTTGCAATGTAGAAAGAAATGACAAGGACACATCCAAACTGGTTGCTAGACAACTTAATCTCCTAAACCCCTTTCCCTTCTTCTAGGAAGTTCATAGGGCCGCAAAACTTCACGACAAAAATTTATCTTAAAATTAGCACTTTTAATCTCCATGGTATCAACAAATGCTTTTCATTCAGCTAATTTATTCTTGTTTTCTCGTCACCATAGCGTAGCACCATTTTCAGCATAAAAATACACACACCACCCACAATTCCTCCAACTGTTGTGACGAAGGGCTGATGCTCATGTCAGCTTTTAAACTCTTTATGGTAGCCTATTTACATTATCAACACAGTTGATAGTACTAAATAACCCTGTTATACTCTCACACTGACGCAGCCCTACAGTTTCTTTGAAAACTTATCTCCTTTACCTGCACAGCAGTCCAATATTCAACATGAGCAAGCAGAAAAAAAGAAAATTCCTCTGTTTTAATTAGTTTTTCAGGATATTGTCACTGTTCTTGTATACGGAATCCTGTTCTATCCAGTTTTTGCCTGTCTGACAACTGACAACAGATTGGTTGGGTCTTTGCTGGGATTTCTTTATGTTACAATCAGGTGAGCTAACTATTACTTTGTTTATGAATACCAATTTATAAAAACTATGAATTGTTTTTTCGATTAACAAATACATTTCACGGAACTCTACAATTACTGATAATTACCGGTAATTCAAATATTACTCTAATGTCGAATACTATTCTTGGCTTTGAAATAAGTGATGTTTGTGTTAATTTGGGACCATGTTTTGTACACATGTAGTGGTAAGTAGGGAACACATCATGGCTTACATATGTGGAAAAAAATTAATGATTTGGTTCTGTCAGCTCAATTAATCCTTTTAGTAATATTTCTGAATTATTCATTAAAAACATGAGAATAAAAAAAAGATCGCCAACCCAATAGGCTCTGATTACTACATGAATTCTCCTCATCAGTACCAGAGGAAATTTACAGTGAAGAGTCTGGAGAATATGGGTATTGATGTTAACCCTTTAACTCCCATGAGTGACCAAGACAGAATTTCTCCTTATAATATCAATACAATATCAAGCAGACAAGTGACAAGAATAAAGAAAAATATCATTTAGGGGATTATAAGTTGATCCAATACGAAATTCTCCAAACTAACATCACAAGAGCTGTATGGCAGACCATAACAAGAATTACTGATGAGATCTCATCAAAGGGATAGATATAAACTAATGGACAATGAAAGCAAACCAGCATAATTAATTTCTTAGATTCGCCTTCAAACTAGGGATGGAGTTTCAGTGTGTAATATACTTGAAGGTAAGGATAGGGAGTATTCAAGGAAATTGTATGTTTTTGATACTTGGCCTTTTTTGTTTTTGTTTTGATTTTTCTCAAGGTGACATTTAACAAATCAAACATGATTCTCCCTCAGTCTATAGCCTTATTGATCATAGAAATGATGCCAACAATGTTCAAAACTAAAGTGAATCTGCAAGGTGCAGCCAAGTGGTTTTACCCACATGTATTTCTACAAGAGTATAAAGGGATGGAGGGGGTGCATCAAGTATAATCGGGTTGGAGGGGGGGTTGCATAGGGTATAAAGTGGAGAGTATAGAAAGTTGACTGTCAATAGCAGCCAATGAGTGTGTGTGTTTGTGCAGAGTGTGGTAGTGGGGTGGGTGGGAAGAGGGGGTCATAAGGATATTACAGAGTCTTATAGGGGTTATCAGGTCAATTTATCATGAAAGAACCAAAATCCTCCTACCCACCCCTCTCTCCCAGGTGATGAATGATGACAAGCCCACATTTAGTTGTTTATTAATATATATATTTTTTTTTCTTTTATTCTATGTATTTATTCATTCCTTTTTTGAATTACTTTTTTTTTTTCACTAAGGAAGAGTACCAGAAGGAGTTATTTTACCTGGAATATCTGGGGTTAGTTCCAATCAACCTTTGCCTTGCATTCATTTGGATGAAGTTCGGTCTCCTGCTCTATCGTGAAGTGAGAAAGAAGTGTTTCCCATCTGAGAGCTGGGTAAGTCACTTGTGAGGCACACGACATACCAGTTTAACATCGGGCATGCGCGAGGGTATCAATTATGGCCGGCCGTGCGCCAATTTCCGCCTTAAAGGATAACATAAGAAGCAACCTCTATCGCAAAATAGGCGAAAGAAAATTGAAAAGTTCTTAGAGATCTGCCTAAGGAAACAAGGTACGTAGTGATATATCCCTAACCTGCAGCGATAGATGTACATCGCTGAGTTGAAACGATATATCGCCCAGAGCGAAACCTGTTTGAACAGTGCAACACTATATCGCGATTGTCTTAACCACAGCTTCTACCTTTCAGAGCCACATGAAACCAAACTTCCCGAAACGCGGGAAAACGTGGGTTACCAAGTCGATTTAGTTTTGAATCTGATTGGTGAAGAGAGTGGTGCGAGTTTTCTGGACCAATCACAGTGCGAAGTAAAGCATAAACGAAGCAATAATGGTTACTTTCGACATTTAAAAGACAAGTGTTCATATAGCACGATGTTTCGTCGATAAGTCGCGATTTTCGTGATAATCGTCTCACAGTTTTGTACGCTGGCTATGAAAACCTTTCCGATGATGGGGATTGGGGTGGAGTTGCTGCTTGCTCCCTCTTTGGACTTTATAGTTTGTCTGAAACCATGCCCAGATAAGGGTGACTGTTGTTAAAGTTTGTTTGAAATCTTTTGCTGCTGACAAATTAAAACTTTTCTTTTCCAGGGTGGCGAGGAAATCCGCAATAAGCGTTTGGCGAGTGAAATTGAAATCGCTCACATGACGGAACTTCTGAACCCAGGATCAATTTCGTAAGGAGTTGAAATTGACAATCTAGCATGTAAATTTTATTTAGACAAAGTGTTGTAAAATGGGTTTTTTTCCACGGTAAGATTATTCGCCTGAGATATTCTCTACCGCTTGACAGCTTATGAGGGCAAAGGTTTATTCTAGACCGATACGATTTGTCGCTTGGGATTTTATCTGCGCTATGATTGATTCTGACATCGCACTCATAACTAATACTCTTTTTGATATAACTTAGATACTACGAGCGCCTTGATTGGTAAAAACGCTACCATTTATTGCACTGGTTAAGCCATCTGCTTTGTTTTAAGTTATATTGTAAAAGCAATAGACTGCAATTTTTATCGGTTTACCAGCGTGAAAACCCACTTGGAATGTTAAAAGAAAGCGAGAAAAATTTGTTAATAAAGAGCCTGAGGCGAGTGATCTACAAACTTTTGTCGTGTTCTCCCAACAACTTAAGTAGGTTACTATGCCGGTAAACCGATAAAAAGTTCGATCTGTTGCTCAAATAGAAATGTTCCGCTCTTATTGTTAAATAATGAAGGATTAGTAAAGCCAATCAGACTGCAGAATTGTTGACCAAACACTTTAAGATTTATACTTGAATCTCTTAATTCACTCATTACTCTTTGTGATTGGTTTGGAAAGCGCTCCAATCAGTCTTGATTCCTTTGGCCTACGTGTAAGGCTGTCATGCTTAGTTAAAAAGAACGTGTACGTAAAGAAAAGGGGCGCCATTGATCACCAGCGATAACATAGACGTGGGATTGATGCATACATTTGTGATGAAGGATTCAAGTGATATATTTCTTTCGTTTTTGCATAAGCTCAGACAGATTACAATGATTCTCTAGTTATTCAGGATCGATGGTATAATTCCCTTTTGTTTTGCCTCAAACAGGGGGAATAAGGTTGGATTAAACTGGTTTTCATGTCTGCTTCGTTGTTTCTACAAACCAAGGAAAGGTAAATAAATTATATTTTGTTCGCGCCATGTCTTTGAGCCACGAGCAGGAAGCATTTGAATAAGGAGATGATTTAAATGACACCCAGTCGTTTTTTGTTAAAATTTGTTTTAACTTTATCTGAATTTCACTTTTATTTCTTGGATTTAGATTTCAAATTTTCGACACAATTCATTTCAGCAACGTTGGTTAGCGCTTTAACGATCTTTCAGGTGAGTTGGATAATTTTTATTGATTTAAGTATTCTACATTTGCTTTCACTTTTGGTAATACTTTGATGGCAGAATGACTGACTGACTATGCGACTTGCTGACGAAGTGAATCACGCTGTCTCCATGGTCATCGTTATCGTCATCGTTTTCGTCACCGTTTTCGTCACCGTCGCCTCGGTCATTTATCATACTCATTACTATTTTTGTTTTTGATTTCTTTCTTCATAAATACATACATACGTATATACATAGATGCATTTTACGCATTACTTTCGATACAGATTAAAGTTTCCAGTCTACAGTCAAGAGATTTGTTTATTAAAGTTGTCACATGCAGAAGATCGGATGTTATAAGAATGGATCTCACAAATATAGTGGAGGAGTTTTTGAATGCTTCAAAGAGCAAATCTATGTCTGAAGTCAAACATCAAATTAGCTGTAAGTTAATAGCGGGAGAATTGCAATGGTAAAACAACAGCATTAGTACATAGAGGAATTACATGCTGGCACTCTCTTCCAATGTTTTACTTTCTACTTAGGTCTTCATGGCAGTGTTTTCCTTAATGGAAGAATTAAGAGGAGCATATATTGAAGCATACATAAATATTGGTGACACCAGCTCGGCTGATTTTGAAGACGTCCTCTATAGTAAGTTTTTCTTTCTGTAAGCTAGAAAAAAACTTGTTCCAGGTGTTTAGTTAGAAAACCATGCGTGGTAGTAAAGTTAAAAGCGCGATAATATCGATGAAGCGAATAACATAATTTTTGGGTCGGGTCGAAAGTAGAGAACGCGATCTGACCCAAACCTCCCTCCTGATTTCTATTCGACCCAAACCTCCTTCCTGTTTTCTACCCGACCCAAACCTCCCTCCTGTTTTCTACCCAACCCAAACCTCCCTCCTATTTTCTTCCCGACCCAAACCTCCTCCCTATTTTTGACCCGACCCAAATCTATTTGAAACAGACCAGCAATCAAACCGGAAAAACTATTTCGAACGACATGTGAGTAAAAAGAGTTGGTTAGATGGTTAATTTTTATTATAATTCTTTTTTTTATTTATTTTCTTTGCAGATGGGTTAGAAGCAGGACTTGTCTTGTCTGCTTTCATTTCTCTTTCAGTGTTGCTCCACTTCATGAAATGCCATCGGTGAGTTTTCATCTTAATTTGGAAACGCTGAAGCTTCGCCTGAGTCAATCATCGTGTGCTGATTTTTTTTTTTATTAAGGAAGACTTTTAAGGCTGCCTCCATTCACGGGAAGCAAATTTATACATGTAGGACGTAACAAATTCAGTGTCAAGGGAAAGTGATGAAATGTATATATATATATATATACACATATATAATTGTTGCTGTTTTTCATTATTTTATAACTGTATTCTATACTGTTTATTAAAATAAAGTATTCCGTGGCAATTATGCACCCTTGCAAATTGGAGTTGTTGTTTTTGTAAACGATTTCTGGACCCATGCGCTCACGTCCAATGTTTTAAAAATTTATTTCAGAGAACACGTGCTTCAGTTTTATCAAGGGCAAGCAACATTTTCAAAGGACCTACTCTCGACTCCTGCAGCTTCAGTGGTACGTACTGTGGTTAAGTGACGGATGATAGGAAGTTTAAGAAACGACGACGGCGATGCTATGAACAACGTTGGTTAAAAAATTAACTTGTATTTTACCTACGAATCTCGCTGTCAAAATATCTCGAAACTGAATACGGAACACAGTTTCAAATTAGAAATGGGAGTTTAAAAAAAAAACTGTCGCCGTTCACGTTATCCAGACAACGGAAAGGTGGGTCATTTCATGTTGTTGTTTTGCAGATTTACGCAAAGAAATTTACAAAGATTTTTTACCCACGTACACAGCCGTTGTTCTACTCATTAAACGTTTTGTTTCGTGTCGTTCCCGTTACCGTCGTGACTTTCTTAAACTGCTTGGCTAGTCGTTGTAGTCAGGATGGATCCTGGAACAACAAATCCATTTTCTAGTCTTGAAGCTTTCAAATAAACATCAAAGCCATGCTCCCTACATTTTCCCGTTTCTCGAAACAAAAGAAACAAAAAAAGAGAAGAAACTGGGCTCTATCCCTAACAAGCACCCTGTTTCGAATAAGCGCTCTTCCTTGAAGTATCAAAAGTAAGTAAGTGTCCGGGCGCTAAATCGAATCATTGCGGCATGACGATATTGACGATAATGACGATGACAGTATTAATATTTAAGATACTACTACTTCTATTACTGATAATAATAATAATGATGATGATGACAATAATAGTGTAGTAGTAATAGTGAACCACAAGAAAACGACAGAAATATAATGATGATGATGGGAAACAGAAGATTTTCAAGAACTCCAGACCCGGAAAAATGTGTGAGTCCTCAGCTGAACCTTAAGACTTCCGTAATGAACAAGTTCTTAACGACAAAGAATTCGTTTACGAACCAATCCATCTACAAATAGTTATCTCCAATATCTTGTGCGTAAGCGTGTCATTGTTTTTTTTTCTATTTATTCTTGCTAGGGGGAGAGTCTCCGATTTTCTGGATATCAGATAGCATACACATTGATTGGTATAAGAAAATGAATTTGATCTGACACAGTATCTTAAATGCAAACCTTCTGTTTGTCCCTTTGTTTGTTTGATTGATCGATATCAGTATCTGAACAATTGCCACCTACCCCTCCCCTAACCCAACAACAGTCAACTGATAACAAGTCAGGGTTAATGTTGGGTTAGGGGAGGGGTAGGAGCGCAATTTCTTAGATAATGACATTGACCTTGTTTGAACATGATACAAATGTACCAAAGAAATACGCAATAATAGGGATTTGAAATTCTGAGAATAAAGTTTGGTTCTTTAAGCGGTTTATTTAACGTTTTTTTTTTTTTCCCAGTGACTTTTATTCTCCTACAGAGTTGTCGCGTTTGAATAGATGTTTATGTTAGATTCATGAAACGAAACCTTTGTGTTGTTGCCAAAACTTGAATTTGAAGAAATTCAGATTGTTTGTGATCTAATCATAGCTGAGAAGCAACGCGGTCACTGGAGGGAAGTAACAGTTTTTCATAAACCTGCAAATTTTAAGTCATTGTTGATACTATCAGATGGGCTCGTAATTACGCAGTGGTCTTGGTGCAAATGTGATCTTACCATGAAGCTCTTTGATATTTTATCTTCATTTCTTCTCTAGGTTTTGGGATCCTGACAACTTTTCTGTCAACTGTGGCTGCTGCTTTAGCAATCGTTATCGAATATCCGGAAGAACTGCTCACCCCAGAATCATGGAATTATTTAAGAGAAACCGGAATTGCTTTGTTGTAAGTTTTACCGATGTATTTGTTGTATCGATTTGAATCTTAAGAATGAGAGTCATATGACTGCATCAAACGACGAGTGTTAGAAAATTTACTTCTAACAAGCTAATTTGTTAAATGATAAAAATACAATTATAGTTAATCTACAATATCGTAAGGGTTTCTTTGTATTGGTGTCGGAAAAAGGAATGGAAATATTATATTATTTTAAGTTGTTTAAAGCAAATTATAAAAAAGGGTGGGTTGATTACTTCTTACTCCTTCATGGTGGTCTAATCTTAAAGGCTGAGTTTGGTCACGTTCTTCTTGTGAGTTTGGTCACGTTCTCCTAGTGAGTTTAATCACGTTTTCCTCGTTGTGATCGTGAGGTTGACATGGAACTCGTGATAAGCCATGTTCTTAATTCAGTTAATTTGTTAGTCCAGGAAGAGTAAATCTCCCTGGTAATAGGTTGTGTTCGACACCTTCTTGTCCCCAGAGGTAATTTAAGGTGTAAACAGGTGATACCCCTCATGTTTCGCAACCAAAAGTAATTTGGGGGCGGTACTTGAAAGCGCCTTTCTACTTTAACTATTGTGACCAAGATGTTGTTATGTAACAAAATTTAAAGGTGATTTTCTCTTAAGATACCCTTTCAGGTATAAATAATACTCTGAACCAAAGTTATTTGTAATTTTTATATCATCGATCTCGTTTCTGTTCTAGCCGATCTCAACCGTAAAGATATGAAAATTAGTAGAAAAGATTTTCAAGAAGCAGAATCCCTCGCGCGTATGAAAGAGCTTGTTGAAAGTAATCAAAACGCAAGTGATAGTAGGTCAATATTTTCACAAATGGAAGCGATGTTTACAGATTTCTGCATACACCAGTACTAACCTACCCCGCTAAAAGGAGAACCGATTAAAGCACAGCGATTCGAATATGGAAAGAGACATAAAAAATGTTCAAATTGTCCAAGGAGCATAGTAAAAAGTAACCATATTCAAAATGATGTGGTGATTCTTACTGTGACTTGTCCTCGCTTGATCTTTCGGTTATCCTTGGTTGTCGGTGCTTGTCCTGCAATTCCCCAAAAGGTCACTGGTCTTGTCTTGACTTTCCCGCTATCCTGGCATTTCTGTTGTTTCCTTCAGTGGCCTAGAATGTCACTGGTCCTTAATGTTCTTTTTTGTTGCTGTTTTGCTTTGTTTTCTTGGCTTTTCTTTTGGTAGTCTGGTTTCTCCTGGTTTTTCTTTCAGTTTCCTCTAATTGTAAACGAAATGAAAACGTCTATATGCCACGCGTACGTCGAGGCTCTTGCCTTCTAAGACGTCGTAACAAATGTTCGTACTGGAACTGTAAGTTTCAAAGAAGCACTTGTGGTAAAAAGCGCGGGCAGCGAGGAGGTTGTTGTTGGTTAGAACCTCTACCACGACCACTGATAAGTCCGAAGTCCAACCACCAGCTTGTTAGAAGTAAATTTTCTAACACTCGTCGTTTGATAGGTTAATTCTTCTTTATTCTCTTTCTTCACAAATTGATACAACGGGGACTAGCTTCTATCTGACAGGGAAAATTAGAGTCTCCGCTTATAAAGGTGACACTGCGGATGATATTTCTACGCCGTCAATCTTCTTGTGTTGTCATCGTACCATCTCAACTAGCGAATCACGCTTGACTATGTATTACAGTTCCCACATACTGAGTTTGCACCTTCGAGTTGTTTACGCAGTTCCAAAATCAATTTCTACCTTAATTTTCATATCTTTACGGTTGAGATCGGCTAGAACAGAAACGAGATCGTTAATATAAATATTACAAATAACCTTGGTTCAGAGTATTATTTATACCTGAAAGGGTATCTAAAGAGAAAATCACCTTTAAAGATTGTTACATATAACATCTTGGTCAAAAGAGTTAAAGAAGAAAGGCGCTCACAATTGCTGCCCCCAAATTGCTTTTGGTTGCGAAACATGAGGGGTATCACCTGTTTACACCTTAAATTACCTCTGGGGACAAGGTGTCGAACGCGACCAATTACTAGGGAGATTTACTCTTCCTGGACTAACAAATTAACTGAATTAAGAACATGGCTTATCACGAGTTCCATGTCAACCTCACGATCACAACGAGGAAAACGTGATTAAACTCACTAGGAGAACGTGACCAAACTCACAAGAAGAACGTGACCAAACTCAGCCTTTAAGATAAGACCACCATGAAGGAGTAAGAAGTAATCAACCTGCCTTTTTTTATAATTTGCATTAAATGACTTAAAATAATATAATATTTCCATTCCTTTTTCCGACACCAATACAAGGAAACCCTTACGATATTGTAGATTACCTATAATTGTAATTTTATCATTTAACATTGTGATCGTTGTGGTCATACTGAATAAAAGGCGGGAAAACGCGAGTGACCAGATCACGATTCGTTCAAGTTTTGAATCTGATTGGTTAAGAAGATGGCGCGAGCTTTCTGGACCAATCACACGGCGAGGTTGAGCAAAACCAAGCCAATCACTGATTAATTTCGACACTCCATTGAAAAATACTCTACTACATGTTCAATCCAACTCTAAACATTGCTTATGTATCAAAACAAGATATAGTAACATATTTGCTCTGTCAGAATCTCGTGGCTAAGCCGGTTTCATATTGTGAGACCTCTAGGCTTTCCGAAAGACGCAATCTAGTACTCATGTAATGTTGTTTTTACAGACCAACTTTGGCCTTAGCTATTTTTCTGATGTTGTTCCAGTTGTTTCTAACACATTTCGTCTTCCGTGACTCGACTTATCAGAACATCACTGTCACAATTGATAACAGGTATTGTTGTATATCAGTCTGAGCTGAATTTCTTGTTGTGTGATAAGCACGCCCTGAACAACTGATCTACTCATGACAAATACATGTAGACATTTATGAGTAGTACTAGACCTAACAGAGTGCAGTCCAATTCGGTTCGTAATTAATCAAGTAATTGACAAAATTATAACAGCATGCATATGACGCGTATAATCACACAGGCATGTTGCGATAAATGGCCAGTTACAAGCACAACGTGAACTGTACACTGTCCCATTAGTGCACTGATCAAAACTCAGTAGTAAAGCAAAATTCTCGAACGTGATCGGTTATGACCAGCCCGATTTGAGCACCAATAGGACAGTGTACGCGTCATGCTTGTAATTGGACAGTGTAAAAGGAAAGATAAGGGACAGTTAACATGTCATGCCTGTGTAAGTGGACAGGGCATGATAGAGTTTTTTTTAGTAAAAACGTACAACCGATGTCTAGTTACTTTCTCAAATTTTCTCGATCACTCGTATGATTACAGACCGAATTGGACTCCGCTAAGTTCTTTTACCATTATAAATTGGGCTGCTAATGACCAATGGCGTAGCAAATTTTATCATTGTGTTGATGGTAAATTTCATATGCTATTGCATGTTTAGTGATCATTTCACGCCTTGCCGAGAGAAAGTTCGATACAAACCTACGGTAGCTTAATTGAACGTCGACGCAAAAACTCGCTGACAGAGACGTCTCTGATAAAAAGATATTTGGCATATATCTACATTGTTATCACTGTCTGTATGTTTATTGTTGTTGTTGATGTTGTTGTAGTGGTGGTGAGTGTTGTTGTTGTCTTCGTTGCTGTGATGGTTGCTCTTGTTGCTGTAGTTGTTGTTGTCGGTTTGTTGTGTGTTGTACTGGTTTCTTCCAGGTTAATTAGTAATTCTCTTATATTCACATCTTGCTAATGGGTCACTAAGCTTAAAATACTCAGCCCATGTCGTGTACATTTTATTTTTGGTCTCTTTCTCTCTCTTTCAGGCGGCTATTCTCTATCATGTCGTACTTTTTCTTCTTCTACAACATAATTCTTGGAATTTTCTCTGCTTTCATGAGAATTCTAAACGGCATACTTTTAGGAGTGATATTCATCTCTCGTATTGACCGTTCATCACTGATGCAGGGTTTCCAGGCTTGGGACAAAGGTACGTAGCAGGCATCCAGTACAAGCAATTTATTAGTAGTAGAGGCTTTGTGAAGGGAGATATACAACATACAGACCTATTCTGCTGCCAAGATGCTCACTATTTCTTAAAACAGCTTTTAACCAATTAATTAATGTCGATAAGACTTCAGTGACGCAAGGAAGGTCGAGCAAGATCAAAATAAATCGCCCAGAACGCAGGAAACGGTAGTGGCTTTATACTGATTCGTATTAGCTTCATGTCTGATTGGTCGAGAGGATTGCACAGGATTTATATAGTTTGCATTTTGCTAACTAAAGCAAAACCTGTGGGATGCTGGACAACCTTTGACTTTCACTTTACAGTTTCTTAATTTTCTTTCTAGCTTTTGTCGCATACCTTGGTTTTGTGACTGTGCTGGTTGCCCACAGACAACCCGTGATGCTGGTGTTCTGTCAGTTGCTTATTGACAGACAAAAATATTACCAGCCCTTGCAAAAGCGTAAGTAAACTGTCTCCAGAATCACGACTCGGCTGGGATAATGCATTCCTAGGATTCTGATTTGCTTGATTGATAAACGGACAGATGAGCGTACGCACGCATGGGCGGACATCGGACGAATGGGAAACTGGGGCTCAGAGACAATTGGCACGTTTGTTTCCCTAATAAGATCAAAACACAGCGCGGTTTGTGCACTGGCAATCGGTACTTAGCAACCAATCAGAACACTAGATATAATCTTTTCACGGAGGGCAAGAATTACATAATTTTCTTTTCTTAAGCGTTGTTAGTAATGTGAAATCGTGGAAAATTTGACAGAAAGCGTACCCCATTCCCCAAGTCAGATTTGATAAAAAATGGGCATTATGAGAAGAAACTTACGATGCGAGCTATGTTCAGTCGGTTACTATTCTTTTTATATTCATTGTGTGGTCACACGGGAATACTGAAAGCTAGCCTTTCTTCTTTGCCCCTTTGCACAGTTTTTTGATCAACTAAAAAGTATCTCGCCGACAGTTACTTTTCAAGCCGACCTTTAGAAAATGATTGCATTCTGGGTGATATAGAACAGTTTTAAGTCTTTCATGAGGAGAAAAAGAAACATCCCTACATGTGTAACCTTTTTTTCACCTTGAGTCTGAAGTGCTTAAGCATTAAAATTAGTTTTCAAGTACCGTGTTTTAAGGCATCTATTTTGCCGCCGGATCTCCGACAGAACCTGTATATTGTAGGTTTGGCATCGAGGTAGGACGTTCTGAAGGTTTGTAATATTTGCTTTAAAGGACTTTTCGTTGCCATTCCAAAAAAATAGTGAACGAAAAAAAGACATTTTGTCTCCCTTCTTATTCAAAGCACGAAAGAAATTTCTTTCTTTTGGCCTATTTTCTTTATTGCTATTTTTCCTTTGTTTTCATGAACTAATTTTTTGAAGGGTTATTAACTTGAAATACCGACGAAGTCCCTCCAGATCTCGTCCAAACCTCTCAAACGCAGCTTATATTGCCGTTCCTCTCTCTTGTCTTTTAGGCTTTAGTCGGGAGTCCCGTCGGCCGCGCATGTCAAAAAAGGCTGCCAACCGCTGGTTCCTGGCCGTGACTCTCTTACGCAACCCATCTCTTGTCAAGTCCCGCCGCCAAGGCCGCCATATCACAGCGTCTGTTGTGACTCATGGATGCGTCAACGTTGACGTTCAAATGTAAACTCCGCTCTATCTGGTTCACTTTGTCGGAGATCCGCTATAGTTTGGGGTAAAGATCACAAAATGCAGGGGGTTCCCTCATTAGTTACTACAGTATGAATTAGTCTGTATTTGAGTGTTGATGTTGCATTTCTTGTTGTTTTTGTGTTTGTTTCGTTGTTTCGTTGTTTTTGGTTTTTAACTTTTGTTGAGTCAAAATATTACTCCCTTAATAGTGCCGCCTTAAATTCTAGGCTAAGCTTTAAGTCTATTAAGCGCGTAGATTGTGATGGAGGAGTGAGAGAGGAACCACACAAAGTGCTTATTAAGATTTAAAAATGTAGATTTTTATTGCTGGCTTCGGAAATGAGAATTATGTTATCTGGAAAGCATGGAAAGGCAAATTGTAGCATTTGCAACTGAAGATGGCTCTTTCGTAAATCTATTTCTCTGTGAACGATAATGAATTCTAAATATTACTTAATTTTTTTGGTACGTTTGTATTTGATTTTTACTTCAAGTATTGGAAATTAATATATCCAAAATAGAGCAAGCACTTTACGTTGGGCTAAAAGCCAAGTAAATAGCTAGGAAGAAAAAAAGACAGTAGAATAATAATAAATATTGCGGTTTGCCTTGGTGTTTTAAGCGGGTTTTTATCATTCTTATTGTTGTTATTATTATCATTATTATCATCATTATTATTCTCTGTTATTACAGAGCATTTAAAAAGCTATGAAGTAAAAAAAGTAAAACGTTGCACGAGACAAAAAAATGTTGTGAATTAATAAGGTCCGTAATTAGGCGAAAGATTTGGGAAGGGAGGTATGAGTTTGGAACTGAGGAGCAAAGAACCAGCGGCGAGAGAGAATACGTAGTTGGCAGACAGTTGTGAGCATTTACCCCGCAAGTGTTTAGGCGAAGGCAAATATCGGAACTATTTCTTTCACACGTGCGAATCATTCATATTTCGATACAAGTCTTGATTCAAACATGGACTAAAAAAATTCCAGCAACAAAAAAATTGGATTCTTGCCTTGCAAGCTACAAGAAAGACTTTTCGCGGAGGGCTGACATACCGCAATTAACCAGATAAGAAGAGCTCAGAGCGGGCTTGCACGGCTCTGAAGCGCTTTCATGAAAATATTGACAGCACTGTAATTACTCCCGCAAAATGTTTTTCGCTGAACTATCTGCCATTTTCGAATCAATCCATGAAAACTGAGCGTGTTTCAATTTTAGCCTCCCTTGTTTGACAGCTTGGTACAGTTAGCGAATTCCAACATCATGAAGACCTCTGATCTTTCTCGGAAAAAAAATCAAGCGGAAGTGAAATATTGGATTCGTGGAACTACCGGCGAAACCAGATTTCATTCAATTTTGTTTGCTCGTTTTTATCCGGGCGGGGATCCCGGCCGATATCCCGCTGGCACCCTGGTAGAAATTTACTGACCGGCATCCCGAGAGAGATCCCAACAGGTGTCCCGTGGGAATCTCGGTGAGAACTTGCGAAAATCCCGGCGTACACTCCAGAGGGCTAGAGGGTATTGACATCAAGGAACTCGTCTCTTTTTCTTAGCTTATGGTTAACCATTTCATTCTATCATAAATTCACCAAGACAGTTCAATCGAGCAACTGTGTTCAACCCGTGACTGAGTGTTATGACTGAGTGTCATGACTGAGTGTCACGACTGAGGGTCATGACTGAGCGTCATGACTGAGCGTCATGACTGAGCGTCATGACTGAGCGTCATGACTGAGCGTCATGACTGTACGTCATGACTGAGCGTTATGACTGAGTGTTATCACCGTTTGATACAGGTGAACAACAAAAGAGAACAAAACCACATTTAACACTAATTTATCATTTATTTTAATGTGGAGCTTATTTAAAAAATCGCTCAAAAATGTATCGGACAACATCAACAAAATGATGATGCAGCGTAAAAACAGAACAATAAATCAGAATTCTAACACTCAGACCTCTTAGTAATTAACCAGTAGATGATTTGCGTAATTTTCTTGCGTAATATTTGTTAGATACAGTCTTAAGAGGGAAGATAATCTGCAACGCGTTGAGGATATTCGAACTCTAAATACTGACATTGATTTTGGGAGAAAAACATGGAATAAAATTTTACTTCAAAGAGAATTCGTTGGTTTATTCGAGTGGTTCCGCCCTAAGTGACCATTCTATACAACCCGAACAGGCAGATGGGACTCAGTCAAGGATGACCACAACCGCTTAACAGAGACCACCGCTGAAAAGCGGTGAAAGTGACAATACATAAGAGGAAAAATTTCGAGAATTTGACTGCTTAATACAGGTTCGACAAGTAATTCTGAATTTGTCAATCAGCCCACGCGAAGACCTCTATTCACCTGTGTGGCATATACTAAAAATAGGTCCGCAATGCGTACATGTGTGGCTTACGAAATTGAGTTGCTTTTTAGTCTCATTGGGTTTCTATTAGAAGAGCTAATATCTGAATACCATTAGATAGTTTTCAATATTGATCCTGTTCATCAATAACACAAGATAACTAGCATACAAAAGTCCCGAAACGTTCATTCTGAAGATGAGAGTTACTGGCCAAACTTTGCTATGGAGGTCTCATTTTGACAACAAAGGTTGCACATGTAACCCGAGGATTTAAGAAACTGAAAAACATCAGCATAATCTCCCATAGTGGTCTGATAGATTCAGTCATGATTATGTTTACGTAACCAAGTGGAATTGACATCTGAAGTTTGTAGGTTGATTGTCTTTTCCAAGGCAAGTGATGTGAAATGAACTCTAAGGAAGAATTTCATATGAATATTTTTGACATTTTGTGTACCAGTACACAAGGACAAAACTTTGGAGAAGGGCAGGGACATTCGGGAAATGATGTAATCTACACTAGAAGCCATTGGGAGCTTGATTTGGTTTGAATGTATGACTAATTTTGGACAATACATACATGTAAAGTAACACAATGCTGATTTCTTTTGTCCATTAGGGCATAAAGTTCAACTTTCAGTTGATTGAGAGCAAAACGTTTACTATAATTATTGTATTTAGGTTTTGTGGGACTGCATTTTCAATAAAGAACACAGAAAAATTTAGTTCAGGTAGGTAGATATGAGGTTGCAAATGGAAGAGTCTAGGGAAAAAAGATAGGTGCATTACAAGATCAGAACACAAGCAATATTTTAATAAATCATATGTTGAGTTAAGTACTCCTGGGTCTCCAAGGATACCTGATGGTTATCTAATCCACATCAAGTAGCTCTAACTTTTAACTATAAACGTAACAAATGTCAGTTCCATTGAACTGTCTTTATAAAAACTCAACATAGTCTAAGCTAAGTTAATTAAAGTGTACTTTAGTAATCTAAATAAGCAGAAAAAAATTTTTCACAAACAACAAATGTTGAGCTCATAGTGTGTATGCAGCTTAAAGTATTTGAAAAATTTACAGTTACTTATCATATGAGAAATCATGTTATTAATTATTCATAATGTATACATGAAAGATACACATTCACAGGAAATCAACAAACTGATGGCAGATAAATTTGACAGTATTGACTAAATGAAGTGTGTGCCATCAAAATTTGTCCTTCAGCTGAATTCTTACTCAGGAATGCAATTTGTTAGAGTTTATCAATATACATAAAAGTATCCAAGCTTTTGTTTATTTTTGTCAGCTACTGCATGTATCAATCAGAACAACCTACTTTGTGTAAATCTGATTGGTTTCTAATGTGATCTATTGTCACTGAGCCTAGTTTATATTATTTTGTATATGAGTTGTTACTTTTTCACTTATGATAAATGAAAAAGGCACCTAACTATTTTCAGCCAATCAAAAAAGTGTAATTTTTCATGTATATTAGTATTGTGATAAACTCAACAAACCAAACAAGTAACTGAAAAGGAGTTGTAGTCTACCAAATAAAGGCCTACTACCAAGTATAGATACCAATGCTTATCTGAACCATTATGAAGAGAATATAGAAGACTGCCAAGCTTGAAGGAAGTCATGAAATGCTAAGGTCTGAATAATTCTGGCCATAACTTGGAAAACATAATATTAATCACATTTCAATTAACATTAAAGCACTAGGCTCCTATTCATATTTTAATAAAAGCAAAACCACTTTCTTACTGAGTTTCAATAGATTACTCCCCAAAGTTTGGAAACAAACCAACAACAAACCGCAGTTTCAGGTTAAGTGTTAGATGTTTGTGACTTTTATTGGTTTAGCTATGTAAACATGAAAGTATAATTTAATAATATAATATAAGAGGCCGTCAAATTGAATTTCCAGGCAACAGCAGTGCTTGATTTTCTAATGGCAACAAAGAAGTCCTATTTCCACTACTGGCTATAAATGGTTTATTCTATTCATATTCAATGACATGTAATGCCATGGGTGTCAAGGTATTCTGCAGTTTAACCAAAATTTTATCTTTGCATGTACTAAAAAGACTGGTTAAGTAATTTTCTTACTGAGCATGTGGTATAGACAGAAATTCAGGATAAAAAATGTTCTGGTAAATGACTTTCATGAAATGTGACCACACAGAGAGTCAATAATGACTCCTAAGTTTCAATGTGGGGTGACCTGCACTAAAGGTCCAGACCATGAAATGTTGGCTGGTGAGAGCACAACTCCACGCTGTAATCTGCACTTAGAAGACAAGCCGAAATCTAAGCAAAAAAGATGAATGAAAAACTAGATAAAAAAAATGATCTTTGACAGTGTGTTACAGCCACCATTGCAAAATGGTTGCTTTCTGAAGCTTTGAAGCTTAGGTAACTTAGCTGAGCATAGACTAGAACCCATCTTCGACGATAGTAAACCACATGACAAGCGCTCTGTTCACCATGATAAATCCAGCGAGGAATAAGTATCTTGGACCATGACATAGCGTGGTTTACACTTTGTGTAAACCACACAAAAAAAGTTACAGGATAAACCAATAATTGCATAAAAACTTAGGCAAATGCAAGCACAAAAAACAAAGTTTATTTCCAACAGAAAGCCTGGGTGAACACAATTATGCATCTAGTTTCATTCTGATATTGACATTGATTTAACAGTCTCTTCTCTCTACATTCTGCTGATTCATTTGCAATTTTTTTGTCTTTGATACTGAGATTGGGTTGCCAGCCTCTTTTTTTTTTTATTCAGAAGATTCATTTGCATGTTTGTTTTCCCTGTTCAGAAGCTGCTGGGCCAGCCTCTTTTCCTTAGATTCCTCACTTTCATTTACCCTTCTTTGTTTCTCATATTCATGTCTAGCAATCAATTGTTTTTCTTTTTCTTCTGGCATTTCAGTGAAAGACTTTTGCTTCCTTTTCATATGTTGTGTTTGGTTTCTTTTATTTCTGAAAGGCAAATGTTCAATTTTTGGACTATCGTGAACATTTTGGAAATCAAGTTCAATATCT